GAAGTTCACCTCTCTAATGAGCTGCATCCCACCTTGTTGGAATGTTCCTTCCCTGCAAAACAACCCCTGCTTGGATAGAACTGTACCCCTCCCCGACACTCAAGAGAAGGGGAGTCCTGGCACATGCAGGGACCCTGGAACTGTAGGTTGTCCCTTGTCCTGACACCTCTTTATGAGTCCAGTGATGAGGATGGAGGGAACCTGCTGGTGGTCACACTGGGGCCAGAGAACTTCCACTGTGGCAGGGCAGCCGTCTTCCCTATGCGGAAACTTTGGCTTGGAGGATCAGACAGCTCTGAGGTGGCAGCGTCAGAATTTGAACACAAGGGCCGGCCTGTGGCTCACTGGGGAGAGTGTGGTGCTGATAACACTAAGGTCAAGGGTTCAGATCCCTATGTAGGGTGGCTGGTTAGCTCTCTTGGTGAGCGTGGTGCTGACAACACCAAGTCAAGGGTTAAGATCCCCTTACCAGTCATCTTAAAAAAAAAAAAAAAAAAAATTGAACACAAGCTCTGGTTTGGGAGCCCAGGCCAGGGGAGGAGTTTGTCAGCCTAGCACCAGGAGAGGGGCAGGCAGTGAGGCAGGACAGAGGGGTGGCCACCTAGAAGATCCTTCTTTGGCGAGGGCACAGAGAAAAGGATATCTAAGTGGACTGGAATCACCCAAGGGACATAGGGGCTGACATCATTCAGGGCCTCATGCTTCTGACTGGTCCCTTCATTCATTGTCATTCATCGTTCAACATATATTTTGAGCCCCCACATAGTGCTAGGTGCTGGGGGCACAGTACTGATATGCAGACATTGTCCCTGCCCATGAAGCTTATATAGTCTTACTGCACTGTCCCATATGTGAGCCACTGGCCATCTGTGGCTACTTAAGTTTAAATTAATTAAAATGAATTCGGTTCCTTAGTTGCACAAGCCACATTTGAAGTGTCCAATAGCACAGATACAGAATATTTCCATCATCATGGGAGGACAGATGTTAACCAAAAACTCATTCTGATGAACTACTTAATTATCCACTGTGACAAATGCCATCTAGGAACATTCCAAGAGACTGTGGTAGAGGATAAAACAGGGGACTGTGACTTGGTCTTGGGAAGGGAAGGCTTTCTGCAGAAGGGATGTTGGGAGGACGAGAGCAAAACAGCATGTTGGCCAGAGCAAACAGCACGTGCAAAGGCCCTGAGCAGATAGGAGTGGGAGGTCCCTCGGGAGTGAGAATGTCAGATATGCAGTTTTAAAAATTAATAGACTTTATCTTTTTAGAGCAGTTTTAGGCTCCCGGCAAAATTGAATGGAAAGTATGGAGAGTTCCCATATACCCCTGTCCCTACCCACCCAAAGCACTATCAACATCCTGTACTACAGTGCTACATTTGTTACCACTGATGAACCTACACTGACACATTGTTATCACCCAGAGTCCACTTTTCAGTCTTGGTGTGGTGCGTTCTATAGGTCTGCATGAATATATAATGACATGTATCCATTATTATACTATCATACATAGTAATTCCACTCCCCTAAAAATCCTCTGTGCTCCGCCTGTTCATCCCTCCCTCCCCACCAATCCCTTGCAACCGCTGTTTTACTGTTGCTACTGTTTTGCCTTTTCCAGAGTGTCCTATAGTTGGAACCAACAGTTATGTAGCCTCTTCAGCACTAAATCATATGCATTTGAGTTTCCTCCATGTCTTTTCGTGGCTTGAGAGCTCCTTTCTTTTTAGCACTGAATATAGTATTTCACTGTCTGGATATGGCACAGTTTGTTTGTCCATTCATCTAGTAAAGGACATCTGAGTTGCTTCCAAGTTTTGGCAATTATGAATAAAGCTGCTTATAGACATCCATGTGCAGGTTTTTGTGTGGACAGTTATCAACTCTAGATATGCAGTTTTATTTTTTTTTTATTATTGGCAATTATGAATAAAGCTGCTTATAGACATCCATGTGCAGGTTTTTGTGTGGACAGTTAATCAACTCTAGATATGCAGTTTTATTTATTTTTTATTATTATTTTTTTATAAAGATGACCGGTAAGGGGATCTTAACCCTTGGCTTGGTGTTGTCAGCACCATGCTCACCCAGTGAGCCAACCGGCCATCCCTATATGGGATCCGAACCCGGGGCCTTGGTGTTATCAGCACTGCACTCTCCCGAGTGAGCCACGGGCCGGCCCTAGATATGCAGTTTTAAAAGGTCATTGTGGATTTGGTGGCTGCAGTGGGAGGAGTTCAGGGAAAGTGATGGCCCCTTCAAAAATGCTTCTGGGGGTAGGAGGCTCTCTCCAAAGTTGGGGGCAGGGACTACTTTGATAGTGGCTTGTGTCTGGCACAGGAAGAGCCACCCCTGGGGAGGTGTGGAGCCTAAGCCAGCAGGCTCCATCTAAGGCCCTGCCTCACCTTCACTAGGCTCCATCGATCTCTCATTGCAGCCTCCCATTGGTTCCTGCCTGCATTCGTTAAGGACACTGGATTGAAGGGCTTGCTCTGCTTCTAGTGGGTTCTGGAGTAGAGACAATGGGCTCAAATCCCAGCTTTACTACTCACTTGGACCTATGTCCTCTGCAAGGAGTGATAATTGGATATACACCACTGGGGCTTGGTGACATTTCCAGTGTGATCTCACATGGAAAGTGCCAGTTACAAGCAGCGACTTGGGAATGATGGCTGTTGTCACTTATATTAGGAAAGAGCTGTTTTTCTCCAGACTCCACCTCTAGATGAATTGGAAGGAGGTGTGGGTAAAAGAGACCACTGCCATGGCCTGCATCATCGCCAGTCTCTACCCTGGGGAGCTCTTGGTGAACTCATACAGCCTAGCACTCTGCCCTGGCTTCAGAGTGCCGTTGTCTGCTAGAGTCAGCTAGCTGCTGCAGGGTGGGCTCTCAGATCATAAGCTGTTGAGGACACTGTGAGGAAGTGTCGTCCAACTCTGGCTCCCCATGCACAGAAAGGCCCATGAGAGGGTGAGACCAGTGAAGTGTTGGAACTGACTCTGTCCCCGGGGTCCTTGAGCTCAATAATCAGTGGTTTCTAACTTGTCCTCAGAATTGGGGCTGCCCATGAAATGTGGGACTCTTTCCTCACCAGAACTAATAATAATCATAGTGGTAACAGCTTCTGTTGATTGAATCGCCTCTCGACAATGGACATGTTCTCATTTAATCAATAATTTATTTGGCAAACACTTATCAAAGGCCTGGTATTGCCAACCACTGTTCTAGCAGGAGACAGAAAATAAACAAGTCAGCCACAGTGAGAAACATACCTAATTACAGATCATGGGGGGAAAAGAAGGAATGGGTCAAAGAAGCTTGGAAAGAGAATTCCTGGCAAGATCTGTCAGGAGAACATGACATTTGAGTTACAGCTGGAACCATGTCCCAGAGAAGGAGCATGCACATTGGCTGGGTGAGACTTTGAGTGTTTCACCATCACAGGGACACAATGGCTGGTGTGGGGAGGTTGGGAGGGGTGGAGGGAGGAGACGAGGAGATGGGGAGAGGACAGGCAGGGATCAGGAGGGCCGGAGGAACCGCCTAGACCTCTGTGAAACTCCCCCAGATGCTTGCCTGGGCCAGAATTGGGCTCCAATAGTAAACAATGGGAACCCTCATTAACTCTCATTTTCGTTATGTCTCAAGTTGCACTTAACTGTGGACTAAACCATGAGCTCTTTGAAGGCAAGGACTGTGCCACAGTTGGAGCTCATCAGAGTCCTCTTGATACTAGTAAGTGGCTCAACCCTATGAGGTGGGAGGGAAATGAGGCCTGGGGTGAATGATGCAAAACTTGATAGACTGGGGTGATTCATGTCCTCCTGGAACCTCAGAATGTGACCTTATTTGGCATAGGGTCTTTGCAGATGCTGTTAGTTAGGGTGAAGTCATTCTGGATTAAGGTAGGCCCTTAAGTCCAACATGACCGCTGTCTTTATAAGAAGAAAGGACATACAGAGACACATGGTAGGGAGATGGCTACATGAAGACGGAGGAAGAAGTTGAAGTGATTCAGCTGCCAGTCAACGGACTCCAAGGACTGCTGGCCACCACCGAAAGCTAGGAAAAAGGAAGGAAGTATCCTTCCTAGAGCCTTTGGAGGGAGCATGGCCCTGCCATCGTCTTCATTTCAGATTTCTGGCCTGTGGAGCTGTGAGAGAACAACAGTTTGTGGTACGGTTAGGGCAGCTCTAGAAAACTAAAATACTTGCTTAGGGTCAACCAGAAGTCAGCACCAGCATTCAAACCCGATTGTTCTTGACTCCAGAGCGTGAGCTTTCCCCACGGATTTTTATTAGTAACCTATTTTTAAATGCAAACGCTTAACGGTAAGGGCATCTCATCCATACATTCATTTGCTCAGTAAATACTTATTCAGTGCCTACTACATGCCAGGGATAGTTATAGGTACTGGGGAATCCCGTCCCTGCTTACAATTTACTAGGGCGAGGACCAAAAAAATTAAAAAAATATGCCAGAAGGTGCAAAGAACTATAGAGAAACAGAAACAACACAGGATGAGGGCAAATTTAGGGGTGTGCGTGTATGAAGGTGGGAGGACGCAATGCTATTTTATGCAGGGTACTCAGGGATCCTCCGACGTGTGGCTTCTGAACACGGCAGACAGTGGGAACGACAAATGCAAAGGCTGAGGCGGGAACCTGCTGGGCCGGCAGGTGGAGGCCAGGGTGGCTAGAAAGGGGCGTGCAGAAAACGGGGGGGCTGCGGAACGAGCTCAGAGAGGAGGCAGACGCCACCAAAGACCTTCCAGGATCCTCAGCACCCAGGCTGCGCCCCTGGACGGTGCCGCACCCAACATGGCCACTACGCTGGGCCCGCCTACGGGCGAGCGGAAGTGCGTTAGGCGGGCGCCGGAAGTGGTGGTATGTCCCGCCCCTGCCGGCGTCCCTCTTGAGCGGCGGACTCGCCGGCTTCCAGCATCCTTGGCCGGTCAGGGCAGGTGGGAGGCCTCGGGTTTGCGGCTCCCGCGGCCGCGGCACGGCCCGCCCGCGACATGGCCAGCTCCGGAGAGGTACGGCCTGCGCTTCTCTCCGCTCTGTTCCTGCTTCAGCGGCCTCGCCCCCCTCTATCCTTCCCATTCAGACCCCGGCCCCCCTGCGTCCTTCCTGTCCATACTCCTGTTCCGCCCAGTCCTCTCTGTCCAGACCCTGGCCTTGCTCCTGGTCCCATCCTTGCCCCGTCCCGCCCCCCTAGGCCCTCTCCCTGCCTCCGAAGGGACAGGCTGTCTTCTCCTGCGGTTTTCCATTCCTTTCCTAGCTCTACATTTCTGATCGTCAGAATTGCTCCCCGCCTCCCTGCCCCCTGAGTTTCCAGGTTCCTCTGGGCCTCCCAGGTCCCTTTCCCATGCTCCTGTATCTTGGTTCAGTCTCTGCAGGTCTGGGACATTCCCCTGCCGTACCCACGTCTCACCCCATCTGCTATCTGAATGCTCAGTTTCAGTCCAGTCCACTTCTCTCTGGAGCCCGCGTGTGTGTGTGTATGTGTGTGTGTTTGGGGATGATGGAGAAAAAGCCATTTCACCTAGGGAGCTTACGATTTACCCTGTAATTCCTTCCCTAACACTCCGCAAATCTGGATCCGATGGAGAATCCCATTGCATTCCTGTAACGTGCAAGGTATTTTCTCTGTAGACAAAGGTTTAGGGAGTACCTGGACTCTGACTAGTGGCTTCTCTTTTGTTGCTTTCTGCCTACCTGTATGCGTACCTGGGTTTACATGTATCATCTTTCAGGACTCAGGTCGTTGGGCGCACGTCTAACTCTTAGGAGCTGGCCTGGGTTCTAGAGAACAGGAGTGAGAGGTTCAAGTGTTTACCTCAGAGTGGATGGGGCATGAGTGTGTGGAAGATGGCTGGGAATTGCTGACAGCTTCTCTTGATTTGAAGTGAATTTGGCCCAGAAATGGCCCCTGTGGCTCCTGGATTGACAGAGAAGAGTATGTGGCCCAAATGCAGACTGATAGTAGGATTGAAGAGCCAGAAACCTCCAGCTCCTGGAGGAAGAGTTTTGGAGGAGCTTGGCTGCGTTAGCACATTCCAGTTAGTTGTGTGTATCTGTCGGGGCAGGGCCTGGTACCTCCGTCTTATGGAGTCTAGTCTCAAAGTCCCCTCTGTTCCTTGAAGCACATGTGGGCGAGCTGGCCAGTGAGGCCTGCCTCTTATTGCATTGTGGGCATCTTTTGGGTTGAGAAAGGGGAGTCTAGTTGTACTCTGAATGTGGATATCAAGGTCCGTTTTTCTGGGATGGTCAAATTATTTATTTATTGAGCTATAATTCACATATCACAGAATTCATACTTTAAAAGTATAAAATTAAGAGTTTTTTTTTTTAAAAACTATATTCACAAGGTTGTGCAGCCATCTCCACTATCTCATTCCAGAATAGGTTGTCTGATCTTGAAAGTCACTGGTGACTTTAAAATGCAGTTGCCCAGGACTACTCCAGTTTTTGATGAGTGGGGTCTTGAATTTTTCATAGCACTTCAAATGATTCTGAAGCAGGTGGTCTATCACTTCACTTGGTTCAGTGCCTCTTCCTCTTGGGTATTAAGAAATGATCCCTGTTCAGAAGCCATTCCAGGTGTAGTGGGGAAACCATTACAATTTGTCTGATGAGACTGGGGGTGGGAGGTGGGGGAGGAGGGTGAGTTAGTGTGCCTGGGGAATACTGAAGGGCTTCCCTGAGGAAGGAGGATTTGAGCTGAAGTTCTAGGGTGTAGCAGTTTCCCTTACTTGGTGGCATGTCTGCTGGAGGGAACAGCTTGTGCAAAGGCTTGGAGGCATGATTGCTGTGTATCAGGGGGCAGCTCAGAAAATGCCAACGAGACAAGCAAAGGCCCAGGAAGAGGGGCAGTAGAGAAAGAATGAAGATCTTAAAATCACTCATATGATCTAAAAAAAAAATGTTATAGTGTAAAATTCCACACATTTGTGAAAGAATGATATAATGAACCTCTTTCTACGTACCCATTGTGTGGTATCAGTACTTGTCAGCCCATGACCTGTTGTTTCATCTGTCTTCCGCCCTCCTCCCAACTCTCTTATCCCCCTTAGATTATTAAAAACACATCCCAGATATGTCACCAGTTGGTTTGTGAATGCTGTGATTTCTTTAGGTGCCTGGGTGGTAAACAGGTTAGGGCTCTTTCTGGGAGGAGGTGTTTTCTGGGCAGGTACTGAGGTTTCAGTTTTTTTTTTTTTAAAGATGACCGGTAAGGGGATCTTAACCCTTGACTTGGTGTTGTCAGCACCACGCTCAGCCAGTGAGCGAACCGGCCATCCCTATATGGGATCCGAACCCGGGGCCTTGGTGTTATCAGCACCGCATTCTCCCGAGTGAGCCACCGGGCCGGCCCATGAGGTTTCAGTTTTTAATTGTGCTTTTGAAAAAATCGTGAAATGTTACACATTCTGAAAAGTACGTAAAACAAAGTTTAGTGAATAACTAAACTCTTTTAAAAAAAAACTCTAGGGGCCGTCCTGGTGGCGCACTGCTACAGTGTGCCGCTTGGGAGTGCGGCGGCGCTCCCGCCGAGGGTTCAGATCCCACATACAGACCGGTTCCTGCTCACTGGCTGAGCGAGGTGCAGGCGCAACACTGAGGGTTGCGATCCCGTTGCCGGATACGAAAAAAGACAAAAAAAAAAAATAATAAAACAAAAAAACTCTAAATCATGATCAAGTTGTTATTATCCAGTTCTTTTTTTTTTTTTTTTTTTTTTTTAAAGATGACCGGTAAGGGGATCTCAACCCTTGGCTTGGTGTTGTCAGC